TCTCATAAGAGTTGAAAAGGTTACGCATCTTAAAATTGACCAAGCTCTGTGGTTGAATTAGCTATACCAGTTTAGCTTTATTTAGCCGCTCAAAGCACCTTAATTAACAACAATGTATTTTCAATCATACTGTTTATTTAAATGTGCAGTTTTTTCAACATGAATACATGTTAATTGTTAAACGTTTTTAGCTTCTCAAAAAACTGCATTTTTGCGAAAGGTAGGGGACATTAAATCTCATTTGTCTATCAGCCTGTCCATCTGTCACAATAGATTTATTCTTGCAGCTCACCATGGTCATATCTTTTGAATGAGAAGAGTTAGGACTTTCATATTAAACATTGTGTATTAGTACTTACCAATGACAATATTTTCACATGACCTTGACCTTGAAGTTTGACCTACTAGTATTTTCTATAAAAAAATTAATTGTTTTAAATTGATCATTTGAAAGAGAAAAGATTGGGCATTCATAATAAACATGCATGTATATATTACCTGTGATAAGACCTTTCCAAATGTATCATGACTTTTGACTCTGTGTCCTTGAAGTTTGATCTATTTTTCAAAAATATTTTATTTCCTTATAACTTTTAATTGAGAAGAGATCTTTCACATTTGACATGTACATTATCTGTAACAAGTTTTTTTTCCAGCATGCTATGATTTTTTACCCTTTCTCCTTGATGTTTTACCTAATTTAATAAAATTTAACTCTACCTAAAGATGATTAGGCTACTGTGTAAAATGTAACAGTAGTTTGAGGAAGAAAAGTGTGACAGAGGGATGGACGGACATGAGTAACAACAATATACCCAAACTTTCTTTTGAAAAGTGCCGGTAGAATAATATTACACCATTCATTCATTTCTCTTATGAATCTCTTTATCTCCCTCTAACTCTCTATCTCTCTGAAAAAACAAATTTGTATTTAAATTTTAAAAAATCATCACCAACTCTCACCCACTGCATCCAACATTAACAACAAACTATCTCACTCAATCCTCACACTCATTACCCACTTTCTCAGTCACTCCAGCGTAACACTCACTTCCCACTCTCTGTAGTATCACACTTATTACTCACTCTCTAAATCAATCCTGTCTCACACTCATTACCCACTTTTTCAGTAACCCCAGTGTCATATTCAGTACCCACTTTCTCACTCCAGTCTCAAACTCAGTACCCACTCTCTCACTCAAGTCTCAGACTAAGAACACACTCTCACAATCCAATCTCACACTCATTATCCACTCTCAATCACTTCAGTCTCACACTCATTACCCACTTTTTCACTCACTCCAGTCTCACACTCATTACCCACTCTCACTCATTCCAGTCTCACACTCATTACCCACTCTCTCACTCTCTCCGGTCTCACACTCATTACCCACTCTCTCACTCACTTCATTCTCAGACACATCACCCACTCTTTCACTCACTTCAGTCTCACACTCATTATTCACTCACTTACTCCAGCAGCACTCTCATTACCCACTCTCTCTCTCAGTCCAGTCTCACACTCATTATTCACTCACTTACTCCAGCAGCACTCTCATTACCCACTCTCTCTCTCAGTCCAGTCTCACACTCATTATTCACTCACTTACTCCAGTAGCACTCTCATTACCCACTCTCTCTCTCAGTCCAGTCTCACACCAATTACCCAATCTCTCAGTCCAGTCTCATACTCATACCCACTCTCTTACGCCAGTCTCACACTAATTACCCACTCTCTCACTCAAGTCTCACACTCATTACCCAAATTCTTACTCCAGTCTCACTGTCATTTCCCACTCTCTCACTCAAGTCACACATTCATTACCAATTCTCTCAATCCAGTCTCACACACATTACACACTCTCTCACTTCAGTCTCAAACTCATTACCCACTTTCTCAGTCAAGTCTCACACTCATTACCCACTCTTTCTTTCCAATTGCACAACCATTACATACTCTCTCCATCACTGCAGTCTCACACTAATTACCCACTCTCTCTCTCTCAATTCTCACACTCATTACCCACTCTCTCACTCCAATTGCACACTCATTACATACTCTCACCATCACTCCAGTCTCACAGTCATTACCAACTCTCTCACTCCAGTCTCACACTTATCACCCACTTTCCCGGTCAAGTTTCACACTCATTACCCACTCTCTAACTCAGATTGCACACTCATTACATACTCTCTCCATCACTACAGTCTCACACTCATTACCAAATCTCTCTCTCAAAGGTCTCACACTCATAACCCACTCTCTCACTCCAGTTGCACACTCATTACATACTCTCTCCATCACTCTAGTCTCAAACTCATTAACCAATCTCTCTTACTCCAATCTCACACTCATTACCCACTCTCTCACTCATTCCAGTCTCACACTCATTATCCACTCTCTCAATCACTCCCGTCTCACACTCATAATCCGCTCTCTCTTTAACTAATGTCTCACTTTAATAATCGACTCTCTCACTCAATCAAGTCATACACCTATTATCCACTCTCTCACTCAATTCTCACACTCATTATCCACTCTCTCACTCAAGTCTGACACTCATTATCCACTCTTTCACTCTCCCAAGTCACACACTAATTACCCACTCCCTCATTCTCTGAAGTCTCGCACTCATTTCCCACTTTTTCAATTACTACAGTCTCACACTCATTATCCACGCTCTAACTCACTCCAGTCTCACATTAGGCTACGGTGTAAAATGTAACAGTAGTTGAAGGAAGAAAAGTGTGACAGAGGAACGGACGGACATGAGTAACAACAATATACCCAAACTTTCTTTTGAAAAGTGCCGGTAGAATAATATTTCACCATTCATTCATTTCTCTTTATGAATCTCTTTATCTCCCTCTAACTCTCTATCTCTCTGCAAAAACATCTGTATTTGAATTTCAAAAAATCAATACCAACTCTCACTCACTCCATCCAACATAAACAGCAAACTATCTCACTCAAATCTCACACTCATTACCCACTTTCTCAGTCACTCCAGGGTAACACTTCACTCTCTGTAGTATCACACTTATTACTCACTCTCTCAATCAATCCTGTCTCACACTAATTACCAACTCTTTCAGAAACCCCAGTGTCACACTCATTTACCACTCTCTCACTCCAGTCTCACACTCATTACCCACTCTCTCACTCCAGTTGCACTCTTATTACATACTCTCTCCATCACTCCAGTCTCACACTCATTATATACTCTCTCTCTTACTCCAGTCTCACACTCATTACCCACTCTCTCTCACTCCAGTCTCACACTCATTACCCACTTTCTCTCCCCAGTCTCACACACATAACCCACTCTCTCCCTTCAGTTCCTCATTCATTACATACTCTCTCAATCACTCCAGTCTTACACTCATTAGCCATTCTCTCACTCCAGTCTCACACTCATTACCCATTCTCTCCATCACTCCAGTCTCACACTCATTACCCACTCTCTCCATCACTCTAGTCTCACACTCATAATCCGTTTTCTCACTCACTGAAGTCTCACACTCATTACCCACTCTCTCACTCACTCCAATTTCACACTCATTATCCAATCTCTCACTCTCCCAAGTCACACACTAATTACCCACTCTCTCATTCTCTCAAGTCTCGCACTCATATCCCACACTCTGTCTCACTCAGGTCTCACACTCATTACCCAATCTCTCCCTCACTCCAATGTCACATTCATTATGCACTCTCTCACTCACTGCAGTCTCACACTCATTACCCACTCTCACTCACTGCAGTCTCACACACATTACCCACTCTCACTCACTGCAGTCTCACACTCATTACCCACTCTCTCTCTCTCTCTCCAGTTTCATACTCATTACCCACTCTCTCACTCCAGTCTCACACTCATTCTCCACTCTCTAACTCTCTCCAATCTCACACTCATTACCTACTCTCTCACTCTCTCCAATTTCACACTCATTACCTACTTTCTCACTCACTCCAGTCTCACACTCATTACCCATTCTCTCCATCACTCCAGACTCACACTTTTTACCCACTTTCTCACTCCAGTCTCACACTCATTCTTACCTCTCTCAGTCTCTTCAATCTCACACTCATTACCTACACTCTCACTCACTCCAGTCTCACACTCATTACCCACTCTCTCTCTCTCTCTCCAGTCTCACACTCATTACCCACTCTCTCTCTCTCTCTCCAGTTTCACACTCATTACCCTCTCTCTCTCTCCAGTCTCACACTCACTCTCAACTCTCTCACATCCTTTATGCACTCTCTCACTCACTGCAAAAATCTACTCTCTCACTCTCCATTATCACACTCAATTTGCACTCTCTCACTCACTGCAGTCTCACACTCATTACCTACTCTCTCATTCACTCTAGTCTTACACTAATTACCCATTCTCTCCATCACTCCAGTCTAATTACCCACTCTCTCACTCAATCAGGTCTCATACTCATTACCTACTCTCTCCATCACTTCAGTCTCACACTCTTTACCCACTCTCTCCACCACTCCTGTTTCACACTCATTTTCTACTTTCTCACTCACTGCAGTCTGACACTCATGATACACTTCTTCACTCACTGTAAAACTCTTTACCCACTCTCACTCACTCCAGTCTCACAATCATTACCCAATCTCTCAGTCTCACCAGCTTCATACTCAGTATGCACTCTCACTCACTCTAGTCTCACACTCATTACCCACTCTCTCTAGTCTCACACTCATTACCCACTCTCTCACTCACTTAGTCTCACATTTATTTCCCACTCTCTCAATCACTCCTGTCTCATACTCATTACCCTTTCTCTCAATCACTCCAGTCTCACACTCATTACTGGACAGCATTAATGTTTGGTTTCTTTAAGGTAAAAAAAAAACACTGATGAAAACTTTCGATATCATGTATTTCAATTACAGAATTCAATTTTACAAAAACCAGTGGTTGTATTCGAAACACAATATATTCTATTTTCAACAGTCTCTTCGATTTACTTTTTCTAAATTTCTGAATTTATCTAAGTCCGAAAAACTTTAAAACACGGGTTCTGATGCTTTTTCTTGTCTTGGTTGGAGACGACTTCTGAAGAAGAAAATGAACAAAAATTTGTAAGCACAAAAAAATATTTGAAAAGTCAATCAACTGAAAAGTTAGAAAAGACGTTTTAAAACATATTATAATATTTTTATGGATTTCAATCAAAAAGATACCTTTTCTGAACATGTTCCATGAGTATGTTCATCCGACGACGACGAATTTGGCAAGCTTGAAGATAGGTTAGGAGTATACTTAGCTAGATTTGGCTCATTACACTGGAAAAAAGAGAATATTAGAATTTAGCAAATATTATTGGTAATATCCTTCAGGAAAAAAATTTAAATTAAAATAATATTGGTGGAGTCTAAATGAATGTAAAAAATGAAATAAAATGATGTTTACCTTTGGGCTGTCCTTGAAAGATTCTATATTAAACAGAAAGAGTTTTCTGGGAAAATATGTTTCCTTCTCATTCTCCTCAGTAGCTTGGAGTTGTCTCTCTTTGGTGGAACTCTTTAATAAAAAAGAAGTTGAAAGTGTTGGAAGAAAGGCCAACAATGTACATAAGACAATTCAAGAGTCAATTTTAAAACTAATCATACAACTTACTTTTGATTTCTCTTGCATTGTTTGCTGGAATTGGCCGATGTGTATCTTCATTGCAGAGGCTGTTTCCTATAAAAAGATAAAAACGATTCTCATAAACCAAACAGATAGAAGTAAAAATTTAAAATCATGGATATCTTTAAGAATAAAAACCAAACTTACCCTTGAACTTTGCTGAAGTTGGTTTTGCAGCTGTTCCTTTGCCATATTAATCACATTACTGATAAACTCCTAAAAAAATATCAAAACTGGTTAACAACATTGAATCATTTTTATTCGTAAGGATATTTTTATGGATGACTGGAAATTTTCTAGATGTTTGGGACATCTATCTCAATATGAAGAATATCACTTTACCTCAAGTCCAAAATTATAAATGGTTCAAATTTCGCATACATTACAGAAAGCACATGAACGATATTGAAACTTAAAATCTTTGTTTAGATTACTTACACTTACAATATCCTTTCGTACTTTTTCATTTGCAACAATAATGATGTTTCTCACGAAAACCTGGAAAAAGTAAAAGAAGCTGTCAGATATAGATTTGAATATCATTTTAATGATCTTTTTAAATTTGATGTTGAATTCAACATTGAATCTTTCAAAGCTAACTTCACATGTATAATAAAACAGTAAAACACGCTTATATACAAGGTACCAGGATGGGAGATCTTGTTTTGGTATAAGCGTAATTCATTACAAATATACAATAAGTTTTATACAATACGAGTATATCTTATAGTCAAGGGGCATGAAAATCACATCTCTATAAACGTGAGTACATTATAAGAGTGTTCGCTATAAGCGTGTTTCACTGTACTACTGACAATCTGTAATACAGTAAAACTCGTTTAGTACGAACACGGATATTGCGAATTTACGGATATAGCAAAGTCATCTAGGATCCCCAGGTATATAAATTTAATGAATTTCTTATACGGTTATAACGAATTACGGATATAGCGAAGTAATTTCATAGGTCCCAGCGACTTCGTTATAACCGAGTTTTGCTGTATAATCTTAACCATACCTTGATGAGTCGATCTTTCTCTCTTCCCTCCACGTGCACTCTCTGGAAAAAGTTAAAAGAGATAAATCTAAATATTTAAGGTAAAAATATTCACATGTAAGCAGAACTTAAATGTGCAAACATGTATCAAGTGAGAAATAATTTATGTATATTGATATTAAATGTACCTACCACAATCTCTCTGTGCACTGCTCCCATTATTTCTATTTTTCTGTGTATATCTGCTTGAATGTCAGTCCTATAATTGGTCCTTTTAGCTACTTTCTCCTGTTTTAATGAATTTACAAAAATGTATATAAGGATTTACATCAGAAGTGGTATTTTGTTTGAAACATGTTTATTTGTTGAACTTTAAATTATTCAGCTGATAATTTCAATAGGTACACAATTTATCAATTGGTTATTAATGGGTTATCAATCAAGGTTCTAGATTGCATTAAGTTGAACATCGAATCGTTCTGACAATTTTGAATTTGTCAATCAGCACTTCGATCTTCAGGAAAAAGTCTGAATCATTTACATGTATACTGCATGAATATCAATTTGAAACGTTTCACTCACCATGCATTCCTGCAGGACTTTCCTTTCCATATCTCGTGCAGTTTTCCTTCTTTCAATATCGATCTGAAAATACCGTATACAAAAATAAAATAAAGAGTACTAAATAAAGAAAAATAAAAGATACGTATTTTTGACGAACGTATTGGTTTATGCCAGTATCAACAGAAAATTGTCATACAGATATATTAATGGTATTATTGGCAGGTATTTCATACCTTAAGTTCTCGATGAACACTCTTCATGAGTTCCCTTTTATTCATCATTTCTGTCTGTAATTTCTCCATCTCCTTTAATTTTCTGGGTACAGTGTCCTAGGATAGGTATATAGAGATTACATCTAAGACAACTTGATCAAAATTCACCGTTCATTAAATAAACGTTATAAAGTGAGTATACTACCTACCCTAAGTTCTTCATGTACTGTCTCCATTTCTTCTTTCTTCCTCATCATGGCGGACCATATTTTTAGCCTCTCGTTTGTCTTTCTGGTTATGGTGTCCTAGGATAAGTATAGAATTATTCATTTCATTTATTTTACCTGAAAAAGTTGACAAGCGAAAAAAAAGTTGCTCAAAGTCAAAAATCTTATTTCGTGGTGTGGGGTAGCGGTAGGAGCCATCTTTTTTTTATTTCAACTTATTTCAGTACCAAATTTTGGGACTTACAATATTACATTTTCCTTATATCAAAACAAGATGGAGGGGGGGGCAACCAGCCTTTTAATGAACATTTCCTATAGTATAAGTAATGTTGGGAATAAAAGGCGGGAAAACCACCCCACCACCCTGTTTCTAAGTGCCTGCAGATTGATCTAGAAGGGGAATTGGGTTGTAGTCCATAATATCTCACTACATCCTTTCATTATTTTAATTAAATTGGCTGAGACATTAAACTTACATGTAAAATTATGGTATCATTCCAATTCAACTTACAATCAATTCTTGGTGAACCTTCCTCATCAGAGCTTTCACGATCTTCTTTCTTTCTCTTTCTTCTAACGCCATTGTCTTAAAATTATAATTAAATAAAAAATCAGCCAGGGATTCTGAGATTCTTGATAAATATGAACGGTACGTATTAATTCAATTATATTTCATAAAAAAAAACATACATTATGAATTACAGTTAAGACTACATAATGGAAAGGAATTATCGTTAATACATAAATCAGCTACATATGTACCTCTAATCTCTCTTGTCTTTCCACTTCCTCAGACCAACTGTAATTAAACTTTAATATTTCCAATTTGGTTTCCTAAAAAAAAAAATAATGCATGGCATAAGATAAATTAAACACAAAATACCAATACCCTCTTGTGTGTATTCAGAAAGATATAGAATCGAATTACAGTGAACAAAAAATTCCAGCAATTTTAAAAGTCTAAAATACTGTTTCAGTATCAAACATAAACATAAGCTTACCCCTTTGTCACTGAAATCCAGAATCTCATTGTAATTTACAGTTTCTTCTCTTTTTCTTTCGTCTAACTCCATTGCCTTCAACAAATAATTAAATACAAAATTAGACAAGGATTCTGGGGAATTAGATGAATTCGAACAGTGCGTATCAATTTAATTATTTTTAATTTCATAACAACATTATGTATCACAATGTTACAGAAAAGGTCACACAATGGTAAGGAATTATCACTAAAAATAATAAAAATATTACATATGTACCTCCAATCTCTCCTGCTTCTCCATCTCCTCGGCCCAACTATATCCAAACTTCAAAATCTCTAACTTACTCTCCTAAATTAAGACAATTAATATATGAAACTATTTAACACAAACACCAATAACTCTTTTTACAGTAGGTATTCAGAAAAAATGATAAAGTGAACAAACGTTCAAGTAATTAAGTCTATCACGTATATACAATCAATATTTATCAATTATAAACTTATCCTTACCCCTTTGTCACTAAAATCCAATACTTCGCTGTAGTCCATCATTTTGTTTTAAAATTCTATAAAAGAAATTGTAAAACAGTGTTCACTGAGTTTTAATAACTTTAACTCAAATTTTAACTTTGTAAAATAAACCAAATTAAGTAAATATTACATATTTTCAATTCACATACTTACCCGCTTTCTGCTTAGTTCCTTTGTTTATGGTGATGATTGTGACGTCATCTAAACGTCAAATAACTATACGTCACAATCACAAGCGCAGACAACTGCCATTCATCATATCTCAAGGCCTATTTGTTGTATTATTTATATTAATTTACCACTTGGGATCTTTGTCTTGAAACTTGATACAAAAATGGATTAATAATAAATGTAACTTTGTGATTTCATTCAAAACATAGAACTTGATACTGTACATGTGTAGACTGTGAACATATAGCATAAAACAAATTTACATGTAGGTGTGGTTTGCTTTCTGTGCATACTAGTAATGAGGAGTCGACTTCTTGGTCCTTATCATAAAAGTTCGCGTAAAACTTGCCTCGTCAATCCTGTCTTAGAAAAAAAATTGAAGATATTGAAAAAAGCTATATGTATTTATTCAGTGAGCCAACTTAGGAGCGCCTGATTTTGTACTTAGGAAGTTATTGACTTACTTGTAATAATTGAAAAAAAAATAAGTAAAATTTCATGTAAATTATTTGAATTTAACTCGTTGTGGAAAAATTACCCTTTCTGATGAAACCACGCCTTCGAGAGAGCTAGATCGTGGCAAAAGTCAACATTGATCGAGAAACCAAGTGTAAGCCTTCCAGTGCGACACTGATTTAGAAACCTAGTCTTCCAGCGTAATAGAACGAAATGACAGCGGGTGCTACCCACCCCCACCCCCTGTCCGATTTATTGAATCGTTTGTATGATTTAAGATTTAATAAATCGTTTGTACGATTTATTAAATCGTACAAACGATTTAAAAAATCTTACAAACGATTTAATAAACAAATTGTACAAATGATTTATTAAATTGTACAAACGATTTTTTTAAATTGTACAAACGATTTTTTAAATTGTTCAAACGATTTATTAAATTGTACAAAAGATTTATTAAATCGTATAAGTGATTTTTAAAAAAAATTCTACATTGTTAAAATGGCACGAATACGCCGTCGTAGAAAATGCACCCGACCCAAACTTTTTTTTTTTAGCCATTTTGTAATATAATTTTTTCTTCTTCAATTTTTTCAGGATATTGAAAGTGTTTCAATGATAATTTTTGTCTTTATCAGTCAGTAGTTTATACCAAGAGTGGGGCTTATTTATGTATAGTAGTCATATGAAAAACTTTTTATGTTATCTAACTAAAATCTGAAAACACTTTTTTTTCCAAAAAAAAAAAAAAAAAGAAGAATGCCTACCTACCAACCTACCCAGTCTAAAAAAAATTATGGGTCGGCAACTGCAAACGAAGAATTTTTTAAGGCTTGGCCTTATTAATCATTTTTCATGTTGTTTTATATAATATACATGTATACTCTTCATGTTGTGCGCCATAAATAGTTTTCAGTAGACCAAAATTAACAAGAGAAATTTCCCGTTGGCCACTATATTGGGGTGTCAACATGCTCAAAGTAACTTGCCCTCTTTGTTCTACCAAATGAAGGTGTAGCAAAAATATTTGGGAACAATCTTTATGCAATAATATTATGAAATAAAGGAGGCTCTAACAAATGTATATTTTTTAAGAAGAACAATGCTTCCCATCCCAGTATAAAAAGTTGGTTTGATAATGAAGGAATAGGTTGACCACCAAAATGGCGGCCAATGGCGAAATAACTCTTCTTATTTGCATGGTCTACTGAAAACATTTGTTTGTGCGTTGTATACAAAACTATTGCGTTGCACAGTTCATATATTTTATATATTCATAATTATCATGTTTGATGGAACGCTGTATAATGTAGATGTAGAATAATAATAACAAGAGGCCCATGGGCCACATCGCTCACCTGAGAAGCTTTGACCATCTGTTCATTATCTGAATTTCCCCCTTGTAATACATATTGTGACATTATTACCCCACTGCCATAATTTAGACAATTTGAAATCAACACTGACAAAGGATGCTTCCACATAAGTTTCAGCATTTCAAAGACAGTCCAATATATTTCTATGTAAAACTTTGATTTCCCATTGTGGCCCTGCCCTACCCCTCCCCCCCCCAGGGGTAATGATTTGAACAATTTAGAATTTGCACTACCCCAGAATACCAGCTTTTCTGACCCAGTTGGTTCTTGAAAAGATTTTTAAAGATTTTACCTATATATTTCTATGTAAAACTTGGATTCCCCATTGTGGCCCCGCCCTTCAATGATTAGCAAAATTAAGAATAAATTGCTTCCAATATATAGCTTTTCTGGCCCATGGTTCTTATAAGAAGATTTTCAAAGATTTTTCCTATATATTTCTATGTAAAACTTTGATTCCCCATTTTGGCCCCGCCCAATCCCTGGGGGTCATGATTTGCACAATTAAGAATCTATTACCCCAATGCTTCCACATTAAGTTTCAGCTTTTCTGGCCCAATGGTTCTTGAGAAGAAGATTTTAAAAGATTTTTCCTATATATTTCTATGTAAAAATTTGATTCCCCATTGTGGCCCCGCCCAATCCCTTCATGATTTGCACAAAGAGGGAATTTAGAATCTAAACTACCCCAGGATGCTTCCACATAAGTTTCAGCTTTTCTGGCCCAATGGTTCTTGAGAAAAAGATTTTAAAAGATTTTTCCTATATATTTCTATGTAAAACTTGGATTCCCCATTGTGGCCCCGCCCTACCCCCGGGGGTCATGATTTGAACAATTTAGAATCTGCACTACCCTACCATGCTTCCACATAAGTTTCAGCTTTTCTGGCCCAGTGGTTCTTGAGAAGAAGATTTTTTAATGAACCCACCCTATTTTTGTCATTTCTTGATTATCTCCCCTTGTTAAGGGATTTGGCCCTTCATTTTAACAATTTAAATTCCCTTTCACCCAAGGATGCTTTGTACCAGGTTTGGTCAAAATTAGCCCAGTGGTTCTTAAGAAGAAGTCGAAAATGTGAAAAGTTTACGGACGGACAGACGGACGGACGGACGACGGACACAATGTGATCAGAAAAGCTCACTTGAGCCTTCGGCTCAGGTGAGCTAAAAACGAATCTTTAGTGTTTTAGTTAAATTTATTTGGTTTTGTTTAAAAAGATACTGCGTATAGTTATACTGTAGTTATACGGACATTAAATTAGAATCGGTGCTGTATGACTACAAAAGAAGTTAAATCCAGCTGCAAACGTCAAGTATTTAGAAATAGACAAGCAATACATTTTACGTGTAGTTGCGCAATCACCCCGTTATATCTGATTGCGTTCACATATCATTAAACTGATTGTTTCATTAAACAGATTGTTTAAATGGCCTCAGATCAGCTTAGCGACATGTAAACAACTGCTGTTCTACTTTAAAGTGTTTTATGGTTTTATGGATTTTTAAGTACATTTTCTGATGTGGAATCATCATATCAGGTAAAAAGACAAATTATTGCTTAAATAACATTAATAAGACCTGTGCATTTCTATAAAATAGCTGTAAAACGAATTCGAAGATCAGTGTTCCGGAAAGATGAAAAGCTATCGATTTAAGATATATTTTCGTTGTATCGTTTGTAAATAATGCACAAACCTGATGTGTTTATTTTCATATACATAACATGCATAATAAGTGACCTTTTTCTAATCTTTAAAACTGCATCACAAGATTCAAATGTATTTTAAAGCATCGGGTCATCTGGAGCAGGGGTATCTATTGTACACGTACATGACTGTACTTTAAATTTCTCTCCGATCTTTCAGTAACATTACAGATCGAAATTACAGGTACGATGGTACTAGGGCTTTTTGATTCTGCTATTCCCTTCAAGGGGCAAGTGTACAGTAAACTGAAGTCCCAGTGTGTGAGTTCCGGAACGCTGTTCCAAGATCCGGAATTTCCCCCAGATTCTTCATCTTTGTTTTACACCAAATCTGCGCCTTCTGACATTGTATGGAAAAGACCCGGAGTAAGAAAATCTTATACGGAACTGAGAGCTGATTAATGGAGAAAAATAATTATCTACTACAAATTATATAGATCTAGAAAACCGTGATATTCAATGTAACTTACTTAAAAAAGATGTAATATTCGCAATCTATAGGTATTTAAATAATATTAACAAGTACTTCCTTTAGGTGTAATATCATATAATTTATTATAAAATAACCCATCGATTGCATATAAATGCGGATATTCTTAAACTAAGATATTTATTTAAAATAATAATATTGATATAACTTGAGATTATAAATTATTTAAATCGATTTCTGAAAAATAAATATTAATTAATTAACTCATTAGGAGTTGTCTGGAGATCCTAAATTCTTTGTTGATGGCGGCAGCACTGACGACTTTCACCAAGGTTCACTTGGAAACTGTTGGTTTGTAGCGGCAGCTGCGTGCATAGCCGAGAAACCAAAACTTCTGAAAAAGGTACGACACAATATATTACAAAATATTATTAATATCTGATGTAGACACTGTGCTTTTTATTTCCATGTCCAAGGAATCCGTATATATCAAATCAAGTACTCCACAATTTGAGTACTAACGAATACTTAAAATTGATATTTTGTATCCATGGTATTCCGATATAAAGAAATCGCAATTATTTGCAGATTGTACCGGAAATTGATAAACAAGAGTGGCTTCCGGAAAATAAAAACAAATATGCCGGAATATTTCACTTCCGGTTCTGGATTTTAGGAGAGTGGACAGATGTGGTTGTGGATGATTACCTACCAACTCGACATGGTAATCTTATCTACATCCACTCCAATACCCGGAACGAATTCTGGTCCGCTCTGCTGGAGAAAGCCTACGCAAAGTGAGTCAAATTCAAAATTCTTATTAATACAAAAGTCATGTAATACAATTTCATTGAATGTTTGGAATTTCAATCGACTATGCCTCATCTCAAGCCACGATTCGGAGTCCGCATATTGCTTTCTCTTAGAATGGGATAGGATCGTACTTTCTAGCCATGGATTGCGACGTGTGGACTATGGCATGTGTATATACAACTGTATATCAACATTATATCAATCTTAAAACAGCATCATATGATTTAATTTTTTTTTTGCTCGAAAATTGTTCTTTTTAACTCTTTGTAGGATTCATGGCAGTTACGAAGTGTTGATAGGAGGTCATGCTAAGGACGCTCTGGTCGACATGACGGGGGGAATAGGGGAGGATATTACCGTGTGTAACTACACAAAGTCGGAGGAAAAGAAACAAGAATTATTCAAAATACTCAGCTCCGCCATTATAAACCGTTCTCTGATCAGTGCTTCAATCTCTGTAAGTTATAAAACTTGCGTCGTATATTGGAATGTCAGGGACCAACTGACGTTATAAACGTAAATACGTCATATCCGTTTGTTCAAATACATTTTCTTTAAATCACGGAAAATTAACACTTGAATACTTCGTTACAAGCGTAAATTCATTAAAACTGGTTTCCCTAGTACATGTATACTTTTTTTTTTTACATTTATACGTTATCAAACTACAACATTTACAAGTATCCATTTGTTTGTATGCATGTGATTTAGACTTTCTACAACATAAATTGTCTGATATTTTTACATTCTCAAGGCAAGGGGCGGTGAAATGGAGGATAAGACCAGCACGGGCCTGGTGAAAGGTCACGCCTATAGTGTCACAGATGTAAGGAAAATAAAACTAGGTCAAGGTCTCCTGTCTTTTTTTAAGCGGGAGTCTATAGAAATGGTACGGTGCCGCAATCCCTGGGGTGGCACAGAGTGGACCGGGGCATGGAGCGATGGGTAAGGATTCTCAAATTGCAAATTCACAAATTTCTTCGTAAAGATATATAGGGACAGACAGACAAATTTCACTAAATAAAATGAGGGAGAATTTGAAAGTGAATGCATGGAGGCACAGAAAAATTAGGAGAAGGGTTCGATTCTGGGGAAGAAAGTGGTGTTCTAAGAGCTATAGCGGGTATAATGGGAGGCAATGATTGAAGAAGATGGAACATGTAGCAGTGCGACAAAACTCTGAAATTTGATTTTTGTCCTTAAAATTTGTTCTGCTATTGGACATTTTCACAAATTCAAGGGTCCTGCGTCTATTGGTGACCCTGATAGTATAAAGATTGATGTTGAAATGAAAAAAAAACCAATTAAGACATTAACTGGACGTATCAGAAAGGCAACGAGAATCCAATAACACCCTGAGGTAGTACTGAGGTGTACTGAGAAAACCTTGAGTGATACTGAGGTTGCTACTGAGAGACTAAGGTACTTCTGAGTAGCACTGAGGTTTTCAATGTGGAGACTGAGTAAACTTAGAAAAAGGGAAAAATAGTATCATTTTAATCACGATGATATGGTTTTTGCATAAAACTTTATAGTGTGTCTTGTCGGATATTATATAATTTTAACCAAAGATTCAGACAGTGAATTGTGTTTAGATGAAGACAACAAAATATCTGATAGTACTCATCATTTTTTTTCTGTATCCATTGATGAAAAATGTATATCATTTTCATTTGCATGCATATGAATTTTAACGTAATTTTAAACTGGGTTGTTTTTTTTAATGAATTGCTACTTGTAGGTCGGAAGAGTGGGCTAAAGTCAGCGATAGCGAGAAAAAAGAACTAGGAATCACCATAGAAGATAATGGAGAATTTTGGTAAATATATTATATTATTTGAAAAACCTTTTCTAAAATATTATATACAATCCAAAAATATTTAGTATATAGGGGAAATTGTTGAGTAGATACATCAAATTATGAGTGTTATTGAAAGTTTATTCTGATTTCACCTTTGAAATACAGTTTTTTGACAGGTACTGTAAACCCAATTCCACCGAAAATCGCGCTTTCTTCTCTGGTTGCTTCACATATACATGCATATAGACAAGCAATAAAACGATCCTGAATCCTTTACAGGATGTCGTTCGAGGATTTCTGTAAGAACTTCACAAGTCTTGACCTTTGCCATCTAATCAATACCTCATTCTTCTCTCTGTCTAAGACGTGGCACGAGGGTGTAGGGAAAGGCGAGTGGACGGATGGTAGATGTGGCGGGTCTTTTGGCAACGAAAACTACCTACAAAATCCTCAGGTAATACGATCTTATTTATCATCTAAGGTCTTATATTTGCACATACAGTGAAACATTTGTATAGATATCGAAAATAAATATCTCGAATACCTTGGATATGTTGAAATGGAATTGGACTGTGTCTGATTGTCTGTATTATAAGTTTGATGTCCCGAATACTCAATTCGGTTTGAATTCGAGCAAGTGAGGTTAGACATTACCTCTAATTTACATTCTGGGAATCAATGTTGCAGTGTTGAATATTTGAAATTATTTAGTTTGTTTATTCCCAGTATGTGTTTGACGTAAACGATAAAGAAGACGAGGTTTTAGTCTCTTTACAACAAGCAGACACACGGGCATTTAAGGGCGAGAAAGGAAAGGACATGTACGGAATCGGTTTCTTTATTACCAAGGTGACTATGAAAAATTTTCCTAAAAAAATTATTATTGTTTTTGTTCTAAACCAAGGTGACTGACTATGTAAAAATTTAAAAACCATTTAAAATAATTTTTTAAGTGACTTTTTATGTTCAAAAACAGTATTTTGTGCATCAATTAACATAATAAACTCACAATAAACAGAGATTAATAAATTTAATCAAAAATATTTCCTAGAAAGAGGCCACACATCTTGTTAAAATCTAATTTCGATATTTTTATCATTTTGATATTTATAAATTCAATAAAATGAAAGAGCTTTTGATAAATATAAAATTTTATTTATTTATCATTTTAACAATGATTTAAAAATATTTATTTCAGACCGATTTAAATCGAGAGTATAGAATGCACGATAAGATGGAGACGGCTCATTGCTCAGGATATGGAGTCTGCAGAGATATTATGGAACGCGCCACGCTCAAGCGGGGTCGATATGTGATATTCCCAACCACCCATCAGCCAGACCAGAAAACGAAATTTATTTTACGCATGTACTTCAGTTCTTCCCCTGACTTCAAGTGAGTAAATGAAGTCTATTTGCATTGATCCCATGCATAATGTTAATGTTAAGCATCTTAAGAAGCTTCGCTATAGCCAAGGCTGACGATCTGCTACTCTTCTTTTTACACCCCTTTGCAGATTGAGTAAGGATTTGGTTAGCGCTGATGAGCGCCCCCTTATGGAACACGTCAATTTTTTTTACTATATGGAGACGCACCACTTGCAGGTGGAGAGCATCTTTCCGTCAGAGGTCGGAAAACAGTTGTTTTTCCGGTAGTCGGAAAGGCCCAAGAAGTTGTGATTGACGTCAATTACAGCCAAGAGGAGAGGAGCGGATGGTCACCCTTGGCTAACGAAGATGAATGTCAAGAAAAATTAATGTAAACAAACATTTCATTTTACTTCAAATTTATTTTTAAGGGAGTTGTGCTATGACGAGCCACAGCCCCCTAAGTGTTGTTCATTCCTGTGTAAAACCCCGACTGCTGCGACACAAATCACGATAAACAGCGCCGACAACCTAGAAAGTACTACACCTCTCCTAGGTATACATGTAGTTAATTCAAAGAAAAATTAAACTTTTATTCATCTAGAATAATCATATCAGTGGAGTGGCTTTTTATATTAAAGGAAGAATTTTTAAAATATAATATTAATGCAATAATTTGACTCTGTAATTACGTTTTCACTTAAAACTCTATGTACAGATCCGGATCCCTATTGTGAAGTTGTCTGTGAGGGGACGAAAGTAAAAACCAGTGTATGTAAGGGTACCAAAAACCCGAACTGGGGGGAAAGAATTACCTTTTACCAAAAGAAAGACGGGGACATTAAAATAGAGGTATGTGCACGTGATTGCTCTTATTAAATGGAAGTTTATCTTTTTAATAAAATTATCAAAAATTTTACAGTATATTGCTACAGTTCAATTAATAGAAATGGAATACATAGTTTGCTTGTATTTTATGAACTATGAAACTAGATTATCTGAATATGCATTTTAAAAGTTCTAGATATCAGTAACTATCTTTTTCGTGTAACTTAGTATATGACAAGCGTATTTTAAATGAGTAATTTGAAAAAAAAGTTAAACGCCTATCCGAAACTTAACAAGTGTTTGGTTTATCTTCCACATCAATATTTTTTTATTATTATTCAAATTAGATTTGGAATGACAATTTAATAAAGGACGATTTTCTTGGACAATGTGTGATTCCTTTGAACGAGAAATCTAAATACACGGGAAAAACTTTACAATTTCCTTTGTATGGGAAAGGAAAGGAAGAAAGCACGAAACAAAAAGGAACGCTTACAGTGACTATATTACATGCAAAGGAAATGGATAATGTTTAACCACTCCATTCAAAAAAGCCCCCCCCCCCCCTTTTCACAAGGGAAAGTAACTCAGGTGTGTGCGGAGTCAAAATAATACACGTTCTACGCTTAATTAAGAGATGAAATTCAACCAAAGTATTACAACATACAGATTCTAAGAATATTGTATATAGAAGAACAGTGTCAATGTTTTGTTGAGTTTGCACAGTATTACAATAAATAAACTAAATGCAGCATTTTGCGACAAAATACTTTTAAAAAAATGCAGCATTTTGCGACAAAATGCTGTTAAAAAAGGTTATTACTTTTTTGTGATACAATAGCAATAAATTATAAGGGGAAGAGTCCTCCCCGTGCGTGGATTATAGCTAGGTTACCATATCAACCAAATGATTTGAAATGTTCTATCAACAAAAATTGAACTTTGTCTTGTTAATGTTTTTCACTCATCATCAATACTTCCGTTCATCTCGAAATCTGTGATGGTACTGCATGTGTTTGAGCATTTTCCCCCAGCTATCGGTACTTCACTTAAATGGTTATCAAAGTTTAAAAAAAAACATGCTACATATTTGATTGAATGGAAACTCCTCTATTTAAAAAAAAGTACACCTTGTTAACTCGAAAAAATACACAGGATAAGCAACTTCCGTTTTTTTTAAATAGGTAAAATGGCACGATAGTAAACAATATATACATGTCGTACATGTACCTAATTTATTGAAAACATAGCATGTGACTCTTATAGAATATAACATTAACAGTAATTGATCACCGTTAAATTTTGGAATCATTTCCATCTCTGTCTTGGTTCAAGTTTTCAATGGAGCTGTAACAGAAGTCTCTGCTTTGTTCATATCAATAAATGAAACTGGAAGTAGAAGTACGTGTATATCTTGGGTAAATGCTTAAAATGTGTTCAGATAATTGCGAATAAATAAACGATGTACACCCCCCAAAAGAAGACAGAAAAACATATTGTCCCTAAATTGAAATCAATCCAGTTTAGTAAATATGGTGGACAACTTCGGGATGTAATAATATTGACATTAAAATTTCACTCTTCAAGCATTTTCCAAGCAAAAAACAAAAAAGTAGTAAAATTCTCTTCTGTTCATTACACTGCAAACAATTAGAAAAAAAACAAAATACTAGTAGCACGTCTGAACAATTTGATTAGAGAGAACTGAAATTGTTCCATAAAAAGCATTTCAAAACACCTTTTATTAAAACTCGTTGAACCTTATATATACATATTATCCCACTTCAGACAAATTTGTCGATTACTGAGTGGATAAAAGTTAATCACATGACGCCCTCAAATTTTCCGTATTACGTCTCCGTTTCCATATTACGTCTCCGTCGAGGCGTAATATGAAAATCGGGCACGCGATTTCGTTCGAAGCATTGTTATAATTGTAAATAAAACTGGCGGCTAAGAAACGGTTTACGTAGGTAGTTTAGTTAAATTTCTCGTTACCGTAGGTTCCTAACGACATTTTTATGTTGATTGGTATTGGATTAAAACTCCAATTAAATGTGTTCAGATAATTGCGAATAAATAAACGACTAAATGTCTTCATAATCTGCACAAATATATTTTTTATATTGAAAAAGGTCTTCAGTGGGATAAATTCGTAACACAGTCAGTTAGTGACCTAATACGGATTCAAACAGGGTGTGAAATGGAAATCCGTATTGGGACTCGGCTTCGCCTCGCCCAATACGGATTTCCATTTCATACCCTGTATGAATCCGTATTAGGTCACTAACTGACTGTGTAACTAATATTGTGCAAAGATAAGGAAACTGATCACTTTCGGATTTCCATGATATGTTTACAACACATCGAAAAAAATGTTCTAATGATGTGATAATTTTTTACTTTTAATCCATCACTGTGAAGACCAGGGTATTTCAAAACAATAATGACATAAAAAAATATAACCTTCATTAATTTAACCTAATATCTATTAATCAAATTCAAAGTCATTTGGGAATAGAATGTCACATTTATATATTTTACTAAGTAAGTAGTAAATATTAAATATACATGTACATTCACATGTAATTGTTAGACATCAAGTTTGATATGTATACTTCAGATAACGTGAAAAGTAAAGTTATAAATATAATTAAAAATAAAACAATAAATGTCAAAATTATTATTGTTGTCATCGACTGGTTAAAAAAAGTTAAACTTTTTGAGAGAAATATTCTGATAACAATCAAGAACACAAACAATGTCATTCATATATTACAACCTTTTTTTTATTTAGCTGCTTTGTTAAAATTCAGACAAGATTTTGTTTCAATGACCTTCACCTTCACTGTCATATGTTCATGATGAAACTACATGTATAAATATTAACTTTTATTTTGGTTTTCCATGTCAAGAAAATATATGAAGTATCGTTAAATCAATGCAAACAGAGTCAATTCCGTTTTTCACAGAATTAAATCACTCACCCACAAACGAACACACACAATTGCGTTAATTACTATATTTCCTCCAACTCCGTTGCGAGGGGATAATCTATTAAATAATAGCATATTCTACAGTGTATGTGAACATTCTGATACATGTATCCTTGCTCTTCTTTAAAATTATTACATTTTAAAAAAGGTAGGAATATTTTGTGAAGGTTTATACACTGTACCTACATGTATAAAAAGGTGCATATTACAAACATTGTATTAACATGAAAATTAACATAGTAAAAAGTTTAGGAATGCTGCTTTCAATTTTAAGATATCAAGATTTCCAGTTCCTCTTGCTTCTTTAACCAGCTTGCATACATCTCCACGTAGTCACGACTTTGTTCTTTGTCAATTTCCTCCATAATGACGTCAGACAACTTCCGCTGTGTATCTGGATCAAATTATATAATCAAATTATATAAGTTCAAATTTTCTCACTTAAAGATTTTTTGACTTCTAATTTTGGTAAAAGAATATCCGTTAAAAATAACAGAAAAAGAGTTGGTAAATTTCACGAATCAATTAAGTTATTTAACTTCTACTTGTCCTTAACTTCAAGTTATTATTACATTGTTCTAAAAAAATTCAACTGGTAAATAAATGATGATAAGAAGCTCTGTTTTCAATTAATGCAATGGTTAATTGTGGGCAATATTTATGTCCTTGCCAACAAGACGGCAGATCATACATGCATGTTCAAATACATGTATGACAGGCTTTGGCTCCAGTTCTGATAGAATACCGATAGATCCTAAAAACTCGTTTAATGAGTAGGATATGCAAAAACTTACCATCATATTTAATGCATCGACATTTTTTCTGCATCTCCTCTGGAGTTGCTGCTGAATCTAAGATGGTGGATAGTTGTTCAACTAATGCGTCACATTCCTCATACATCTGTTTCTTAGACAACCCTGCTATCATTGATTTGTGCATTTCTGAAAGTGCTTTCATTGGTGTCAACATCTCTCCAAAAAAGTAATAACAGCTTTCGCTCTATTGAATACAATTTAATTAAAACAAACTTTTACTGGATTCTTTTTAGTTCAACTCAACTTGAAAGATTGATTCAGAAGCAACAAAAATGAATATCAGAATAGGATAAAGATCAACAAATGATGAATAAAAGCCAGAGGTGGTCTTTAATAAAAACTGAGATCCGATTCTAAACATTGGGAAGACAATTCATAGTACCTTAGTAAGAAATCGTACCTCTATTCTGTAAAGCTTACACGTGAATACTCGTTTTGTGGCAGCCATCTGACTTTGCAGTAATATCAGAACATAAGTTAAAAGATAACTCTACCTCGTTTAGGTATTTAGATTCTATACATAAAGATTATAAAAGCATTGTCAAGGTAGAAACAGATAGCTATGTAAATCCAAGACTGGCATGTAGCTCACACTTTGTAGGTAAGGGTGGTGTTGCACTACTCATTAGAAATTCGCTTGAGTACTCCGTTAAAGAGGTAACTTGTAATGATTCTAACCGTGTTGTTGGAGTTGAGGTCAAAGATAACTATGCCAATGTCATGTATATTTTTGGTGTATACTTACCTGCTGATGGTAATGTAGATTCATATAGACACGAACTCAATGTTGTTAAAAGCCTGTACAATTATTATAGTTCATATGGCATTGTTGTGATTGCAGGTGATTTGAATAATAGTTGTATCAGCCCCCTTAATACAAACCCTGTTAAGTCTCAGATCCTTTCGAGTTTTGTGCAGAGATGTGACCTCTGCATACCAGGGTCAGATTTCAGTGTAGAAGGTGAACAATTTACATTTATTCAAAAATGCACAATGTTAGATTACATTTTTTTCCACAAATCCATTTTGGATAAATTAGTGTCTTATAAAAATTTTGAGGAAGGTAAAATCTGTAACACCTCAGACCATTTACCGGTTCTTGCTGAACTAAGCTTCAAGTGCTTACATCACTATCTCACACACCATAACTTTAAAGTAGCGGCATGGCATAAAGCTACGTCTGTTGCTATTGAGTCTTATAGGTCATATATGCAGCAAGATCTACAGGGTATACTTAAGCGTGATATCCAGTCTATCACCACATAAACAATTTTTATTTTGATTTGTGTTCAATCCTGATAAACTCCGCTGAGCGCAATATACCCCAAGCTGGATTTAATCCACATACAAAACCGGGATGGACCGAAGAGGTAAAAGAATTCCATGTATTAGAAAGAAAAATGCGGCGTCTCTGGATAGATGAAGGGAGACCTAGGGGTATGGTTCATGAAAGTTATCGAAACTACAAAAGAGCCAAAAGACAGTTTAGAAATGCACTTGATACCGAAACCGAACGCTATATGAGTGGTGTATATCGTGATCTTGACGAAGCAGCCGACTGCGATATCCGCCTAATTTGGAAGTTGGTACATGTAAAAAGGCAGAAACGCCGATCTTCTCGTACCTATCCTGAAATTTGCGGTGAAAACGGGGTTACCTATTGCAATCCTTCTGGAGTCGCTGAAGCCTTTGCAACACACTTTCAAAACATATATTCTCTCTCTGATGACTCATCATTTGACCAAGACTTCCATCGCCAAATTGAAGAGAAATATGCAGACATTGAAAAGCTGTGTGATCATTATAGCGGCGA